AGGATGGCAGGCCAAAGGCTGCCCACATTTTGCATTCTTGACGGCTATTGCTGGGAAAGAACAGAAAAATCTCTGGAGGTGAGTCTCCAGTGGTTCTCAACCTTCCTAATGCCGCGACCCTTTACTACAGTTCCTCATGTTGTGGTGACCCCAACCATAAAATTATTTTCGTTGCTACTTCATAACTGTAATTTTGCTACTGTTATGAATCGAAATGTAAATATCTGATATGCAGGATGTATTTTCAGGGGTCGTGACCCACAGGTTGAAAACCACTGGCAAAGGAACTGTGCTTAAAAAGGTAAAGAAAATCTTAGAACAGATCTATCCTGGAGTGCCCAATAACTTATATCTTCAAAACCCAAGGTAACAACAAATCCATTTTCTCTGATATCTAGAGCTACAAGAGGGAGAACTTTACAAAAGAAATTCCAAGTGTCACTACTAACAATCTCAAAGAAAAGGGGAGGAACATTCTAGAAGCTCCACCTAAGTGCACTACCTCTGCAGAACTGCTGTTACAGACATGGTGCTAGGACCCCAGGAGGCAGGCATATCTATGTCTGCACCTCAGGACCATAACAAACACATCTACTTAACCCCTGAGAGCTGGGAGCTCGCTGAAGACAGGCATGGTGTCTGGTTCATCCTTATAACCCAGGACCAGACTTGGGTAACAAAGAGCGAATGCTATTCATAGATGAACCATCAATGCCTTTGCAGTCAAAGAAAGAACTCCACCTAGAGAGGTAAATGCCATTTGAGGGGCGTCTCCTATGACCTCACACTTTTTGTGGCTCATATCCCAGAAGCATCTCCCAGGGTAGAAAGCCACTGCAGGTAGAGAAAGGAAGCTAAAGGCTGGGCACTGGAAGGCACTAAATAAGTATGTGCTAAGTGAGCTGGTAACATCCATCTGTCTGTTACTCAATGTCCTCTCCAGGCTCTGCAAACTCACTTTCCCCTAACACTGAGAGCCAGAAATGTCTGCCTCCTCTAAAGAACCATGTTCCCTCCTATTAGATACCTAATCCCTCCCACCAGGCTGTGCTGAGCCCTGGTGAGGCCATGGCACAACTCACTTTCAATCTAGGGTTCCAGAGTCACACCTATCGCTCTTTAGCCATGACTCTGAACAGCTGAATCCATTCAATAGACTGTCCCTCCCTTCAATATTTATGGGGCTCCCACCATATGCAGAAGCTATGTCAGGCAATGAATATACAATTAAAAAGATAATGCTCCCAGTTCCCAAGGAGCTCCCAGCTGGTGTTCTATCACAATTTGCTTCAGAAGCAGGTAATTCCAACCATTCGAGACACCTCCATTCCCTTCTTCTGTAATAACTACGGGTGTGAGAGGGACCCAGCAGTTTCAAAGATGTTATCTATGGCTGGCTTTCCCCTTGGCTCCTTCCGGTCATTCTTTTAACCATGACGAGCCTTCTCTGCTGTCCAGTCCACCTTTCGTTTCCTCGATGAGCTCACCTTCTGGAGCAGAGCAGGGTTATGAGTCTGAGCTCAGGTGCTGAAGGGCCTGGCTGATTTGAAACCAGCTCTGCTTCTGACCAGCTGGAAACTCTGGGGCAAGTTACTTAACTTCTCAAAACACCATCTGTGTGCAGTATCTTCCTCACAGGATGCTGCTGAGGACTGGAGTCCATCTCTGTAAAAGCCTTAGCATGGTGCCTGGAAATAAAAGTGTGCACCCACAGCTGGCCGCTGGTACTACAGTAGCTGGTTTATAATTAGTGTGTTTATACTAACATTTCTCCCCTGCCAGATTAACCTACTCCTGCCACTCGTTTCCAAAAGTTAACCATCATAGGGTGTCAAGAACAATCTTTCTACCTCCAGTCCTTGGCTCCTGACACTCCCCAGCTAATGAATGATGGCTTTGTGTTGACTTTGGGTTCTGAGCTGTCCAAATGCGAGATGCTGGGTCACTGAGCATGCATATGTAGTGTTCAGGGTTTGTGTGGAAATGGGTGAGGTAAATTTTTTTAAATATATTTTTTATTGATTTCAGAGAGGAAGGGAAAGGGAGAGAGAGATAGAAACATCAACAATGAGAGAGAATCATTGATTGGCCACCTCCTACAAGTCCCACACTGGGGATAGAGCCCTGACCAAGAATAGAACCGTG